AATGTATTGTTGGCTATTGCTACAAATATACCCCAGCGACTTAACACTGCTTTTGTGCTGCAGGGTCACATATATATATATATATATTTTTTTTTTTTTTTAATATTTAAGAAATTTAAAATAATTTCAAAATGAATTAATAAATGTGTATTATAAACATACTTTTACTTTAGATGACAACTTCTTGATTATTACAGTATTTTTCACAAATAAAGAAATATTTTAAATATATATATACAAAAAGCAGGTAAACAACAAGGCACTCAGTAATCTGGGAAGTTTGTGTGCATTAAGGATCTTTTTTTTTTTCAACTAAAGCCAAGGTAAAGGTTCAACTAAAGCTAATTTTACATACAGCACACATTGAAAATGACATGAATGGCTAATGAATAAAGCGCAACATAGATTGAAACCACGAGTTTAAATGGCCTTTCCTTACACTTAACAATAACTTGCGCCACGGACTCAATGATTCCCAGGCTGCTCATGGCGACGCAGGTGTAGTTGGCCGACTCGCGCACGCCGTTCAGCTCCAGAACGTTTCGTCCCACGGGCATCTCTTCCTCCGGCGTCAGGTCCTCAGAATTCAGCATCCACTTCACGTAGGGCATCGGAGAGCCGACCGCGACGCAGGTGATGTTCACGCTGCCGCCTGGCATGATCTCGTGGCTCACGGGAGGGATGGTGAAGCGAGGGGGAACGCGCCGAACTGGAGCACAAACACAAGGAAACAGAGGAGAACCAGGTAACAATGACAGAAAATGAACGTTCTGGTGAAAGACTCATATTCAAGCTGGCAATGCATCATTACAGCTAAAAGGACAAGTTGCTAAATATAAGTGCTGGCTAGCAGATGGAACGGAATAATATTGTGTAAGGAGCCGGAGAATCTGAATTCGAGCTAAAGGTCAAAGCCGTGTTTTCGCCCATTTCTACAGGCGCATCTCTCCATCGTCCTCGTTACGTTCACAGACATTTCTGCGAGGATGAAAAACACAGGCGTTTAACGCAGACGCTTCTCTGTTCTCATTCCGAGCTCAGCTGGGAGGCAGAGAAACTGTAATGATGCATATTTATTAAAACCTGCTCTGTCTGAACGAGCTCGATTTCGGTCCGCTTCCCATAAGCCTTTAGAAACCTAAATGAGATGGCGCTGCCCTCAGGGACGACGGAGAGCAACCAATGAAGCCTTTTCAAGCTCTGTGATCAATGGCTGCAGATATCGGCTCTATAGACCTGCGCTGGGAAAGCAGGCGTTCGATCGGGTCTGGTTTCGTTCCCCGGCGGATCGTGATTGAGAGCTGCATGGGTCACCTGCATGCCTGAACACGACACCACAGCATCGAGGGAGACCGCTAAACACACACACACGCAAACCTAACAGCCGTGAAACATTTCTGCACCTACTAGTCAATATGTTAACTAGTGGCTGACGCTCCATGCTCCAAAAAGGCCATAAAACTAGTCCAGTGCTTCTCAGCTGGTTTTGCTACATTGAGACAGAACCCTGTTACAGTTTTTTTTTCAGCTGCTTACACAAAAAATCTTTCCTTGTCACACAGTTTCTGAAAGCTGACACTCAAACAGCAGAAGCACACACCAAATCTGCAAAACCATACACTAATACTGGATCTTTGACTCAGTTTTCAATTTAATTTTGCAAAACACAGCACATAGTTCTCTATGTAACGCACAAAAATCTAACAGGAATTAATATTATGGCAAAGCTGTTTGCAAATGTTTGCTTTTGAGATGTGTTTGTGATATTTTCAATGCAGTGCTTAATTTTGCAAGAGATGTGAGGCATTTTGCGTGCAATTCTTGGATTTGTGTGTAAAGTTTTGAAAATGTGTGTAAGCAGCTGAAAAAAACTGTAAAAGTTTCCTTTTTCTAACCATTATATTGCTGGTTGAATTGTATTAATTGATTTCAGCCTTGTTTTTTCTCTGCTGTCTATGACCTGCCACCCATTTCTGAGTTACAATCCACCAGTGGAGACGCACTGATCCAGTGTGTGTGTGTGTGTGTGTGTGTGTGTGTGTGTGTGTGTGTGTGTGTGTGTGTTGATATTTTGAATGCAGTGCTTAATTTTGCAAGAGATGTGAGGCATTTTGCGTGCAATTCTTGGATTTGTGTGTAAAGTTTTGAAAATGTGTGTAAGCAGCTGAAAAAAACTGTAAAAGTTTCCTTTTTCTAACCATTATATTGCTGGTTGAATTGTATTAATTGATTTCAGCCTTGTTTTTTCTCTGCTGTCTATGACCTGCCACCCATTTCTGAGTTACAATCCACCAGTGGAGACGCACTGATCCAGTGTGTGTGTGTGTGTGTGTGTGTGTGTGTGTGTGTGTGTGTGTGTGTGTGTGTGTGTGTGTG